TTTATTAGGGAGAAGTAGTAGAATAGCTAAAGGTAGAACTATTGGATGTACGCCGAGAGCTTATCGAATTTTAAAAACCTTGTATCCGCTATATTCTTTTATTAGCGTTTATTATATACGCGCGCTATATTAACGTCGTACTTAATATTTTTCCTCTTTGTATTATTTATTCTAGCAATATATTATTTCGTAGTACGCTTAATTTTATTAATATATTAAATAAATTTAGTAGTATAATTACTTATTTTACTAGTCGCTTCGATACTATACCGATTACTTATTTTTTATATCTTAGTAATATTATAGAGGATTAAAGATAGGATAATTCTCCGCTTAGTTGTAAGTGTACGCGTTAAAATCCTCTTAAATTTAATAAGAATAATTTCTAGCATAATAATAACGTTAATATTCGCTCGTTTCGTTGCGGTTATTATTAGGGATTTCTTCCGTCTTTATTATTTCTACTAATTATTTATTATTTTTTTAATTTTTGTATTAGAATATTTTAATTGTTAAAAATAATTATTGGTAGTTAAGGGTTATATAGAATATAAAAAGGATAGTTCGTTAATAGTAAGGAAAGTAATAATTCTTATTTTCTATTTTGTATTTAGTAATAATTTTAGTAGATAGTAAATACTCTTCTCCTTTCGTCAAGGGGGAAATATTATAGGATATTCCAAGTAAGTGCTTAAATACTCTATTTTATTTTAGTATATATTTTATTAAGCGTGGGACTATTTTGTCGAGTAGGATATATTATATAAGAGTACTTTCCCTATTAACTTCCGTTAAAGTCAATTAGATTATTAATTTATATTATATCAACCTAACGTCTATCTTACTTATATTTTATAAAATCGTATACGAGGTCTTAAGTTAAGGCTCTCGATAATATTTATTTTTAATTTCCTTTAATAAAATTATTGTTAACCGTTATATACTATTGCTCTATCTAGCAACTAGTTGCTTACTCTATTATTCTGTATTAGCATCACTTATGAAGTATCGCTTCGCGTAACAACAAGCCTAGTAGTAGACTACTCGGTCTTCAAGCTTGGATAGTGATCGTCATCCAAATCTTTATAACGTACCATATAAACTCGCGAAATTGGGATTAGGGAATACAATAGGTAGGCACATATCAGCACAGATTTAAGCATATAATATAATATATATACCAACTATACCCTCTGTGAAGGAGGGTAAAATCTGGCGCCCTACTCTCTAATGCCTTAATTCTTATACTCTAACTTTCGTACCCTAATTTTTACCTACCCTTTAAATTCCCCGCTTCCTCCTTTGTAGAACTCGTTATTGTTGTTATTGGTATTAAGGTTTTCGCTATCTTTATTACTGTTGCTATAGATTAGAGATCTTTATTAGCAATAGTACTAGTAGGGGTACTAGTAGGGGTACTAATACTCCCGCCGCTATACCCTTTATAAGAAAATATCGTTAATAAAAAGTACAGTCCTAAATTAAAGTAGTATAAAATTAGGGTTATTAAACGTAAGGCCCCTATTAAGAAGAAATAGCGAAGTTATTCCTATAAATTGAAGATTTAGGTTAGTTTAAATCTATATGGTATAGGCTATTTAATAGACGAACTAATTATTAATTATTGTAGGTTATTACATATTTAGTATAAATTAAATTACTTCCCAATAATAATTAGTAGCGTTAATATATACAACCCCGCTTAAGAGTAAAAGTATTCGACAACGAATACCCTTTCAATAGTAATTACGATATTTATTATTACGAAGTAGCCCTATTCTATAGCGTACCTAAATTAAATATATATTGCTAGTAGAGGAAGAGGGATTATATATTCCTTAATTTAATACGCGAGGGTATACTTATATAGTTAGCAATAGAGTAGAAGTTGTATAAAGAATTTTGGATAACGAAATAGAGTAACGGCTTAATTACAATAATTTAATTTCGCTAATATTCTATATAATTTTTGTGGAGATTTATCCGGAATAAATAACGTTAGAGGAATTTTGTTTCTTACGAAGTTAATTTAGTAACTTCTTATTACGGTACTATATATTTAATCGAAGGATTATATATTAAGTTTAGAGACTATTAGCCGAATTGTATGTTAAAGTAAACTTATTTTTGAAGTAAGTTTATATATTTATATGTTTATATATTAGTGTTATTGTTCTTCGTATTTCTATTTCTTTATGAAAAATTTTATTAAGAAAGACCTAGATATTATTATAGAAGATTTAGAAATTGTTGGTGAAGATTTAGAGATTGTCGGTGAAGATTTAGAGATTATCGGAGGCTAATTGGTTTAATTTATAGGTTTATTAAGTATAATAGCTAGCTTACTATATTTAGTATACGTACCTGATTTCTTTTCTATATTATCATGAATTTCGACGAGATCCCCCTCCCTTTCGAATATTTCAATAACTATATTTATAAAATGAAGGGTAGTAAATTTATTATAGGTAAGATTAGTCGAAGTGGATAGAGTAAGCGGTAAGTCATTTTAATTCTATTTATTTTTATTGATTGGGTGTATTATTTTAAATTAATTATTATTTTTTATAGAGAAGGTACTTTTGATAAAATTATTAAGAAGAAAGTTTTCTATATTTAAAATATAGAGGTATAATTTAATAAAGTAACGTATTAGAACAAATAGTTATTATTTAATTGGTTTAATAATGAGTTCGCTCTTATTATTAGGGATAATATTAAGTAAGAGTTTTTATTAGTTATGGATGTATACTTATTTTATAATACCTAGCAAGTATGTAATAAGCTTAGGAATGAGATGCTTTATAAAGTGGTACTAGTTATAATTCTTAGTAGCTTTACTAGCCTCTTCTAGCCTCTTAATATAGTAATTAATTCATTATTTAAGAAATTATTAAGGGAAGAGATAGAGTTAGTAATGAAGGATTGGGAGGAGGATAACCTGGGTAAATAATAGTCTATTTTTAATAAGAGAATTATAGTTATTTATATCGCTTTAAAGTATTGGAAAACTTTATAGATTAATAAAAAGGCTATAGTAATAAAGTCTTTTAAAGATAACGGTATAGCCGTTCTTCTAGACGGATTAGAAAATTATTTTATTAATATTAAAGAGATCGATAGAAATATATTCGATTGGGCCAATTGGAAGTACGTTATTGATATTATAAGAGGATTTAACGATTTTGAAGTTATCCTTAAAGGCGAGGATAATTATAACCTTTATTATATTAAAGAGGCAGCTAAAGGTAGTGGTTTTGGTAGCATGTTTAAGAAGGATATGGTGGTATAATATACAAGAAGGAGATTATCTTTATATAGTAATAAGGATGTGCTTTTTATTCGTTTAAGAGTTTATAAATAGGGACGATAAGAATAATAAGAATAATAGTAATAATAGTAATAATTAGTAGTCTAGATAATAGTAATTAAATTTTATTATTAACTTCGTTATCCTTAAAAGAATTAATATCGTTAATATATTTAACGATATTAATATATATAAAAGTAATACTTTTAATTTCCTACTACTAGCGTACTACTTTAAGGCAGTTATCCTATTTATATTAGTACTTGCTTAATTTAGTTATATAATAGTAAATATTATTAATACTTTAAAATTTAACCTCGAGCTCGATTTTTTAACGGCTTTTATTACGAACTTAATTAAAGTAGGTTCGTTTATAGGCTATATTTATGAGTGTAAGGCCTTTTAGTACGTTAGGAAATAAGGGTATTTATGGGACGACGACGTAATCGGTATATTTAACGAGTTGTTAGGAGTTTGGGTAATCGTTGGTAACGTTTATAAATAGGGTAAGGGAATTAAATAGATAGTTTTAATACTAAGGGGTTTGTTTATTTATAGACGAGGTTGATATTGCTAAGGATTAGTTTTATCTTTGCTATAGTTAGATTGTTGGGATTCGGTTGTATGGAAAGGTTATAGGGGGAAAAGATAAGGGGTAAAAGATAGGGTAAAGATAGAGTATAATAATTTCGAATTTATAGTGCTCCGGGGTGGCAATATGTCTCCCCCACCTAAGTTGGCGGGCATATATATACCTGGCATCGGACAGAAAAATGGCATATATGTGCCTACCCATTGCATTCCCTAATCCCAATTTCGCAAGTTTATACGGTAGAGTTCGAAGTAAATAGCATAAACAAAAGTCAAGATGCTCTGCAATATCTCCCGTCATTACTAAACCAGAGTTCTGCCTTCTTCACGCATATGTGAAACTCACATCGTGCCTCGGGTTATGCGGGTGATCTCAACCCGCAGTGTCTGGACCGTGACTCGATTGCTGTTCACATGCCACTGCACCTTGAAAAGCAATTTACATAGCAGAAGGCACACTGTACAAGAGAACATGGCACAGAGGGAGCTTGGGACTGTTGAGGAAGGAACGAAGCCATTCCCAAGGTTAAGCTGGCTGCAGTGGCTGCTTGCGCCTGCCTGCGCCTGCCTGCCTGGCCACGAGAGAAGAGTCATATAAACCCATGGCCCCCCAGCCTTTTGGCCAGTCTCTTCTTCTCCGGAATCAAGTACTTTACCACGTTTTTGGATGAACACATCTTTTGCTTACATCTTTGGTCATCATCACACCTTCCGGTCCAAGAATAGCCCGATCAGCCCGGCCGATTGGAAAACGTCAAACTTCTCCTCCCGTCGGTTACCGTTCGGCCGAATGCTGCCCCCGCACCGCGCGCCGTCAAGCACGTCAAGACCGATCTTCCTTTCTTGATACGCCCTGTCAAGCTAATACAATATCTCCCATTTCTTCACTCGCCTCCACTAGTGGCAACTGAGTCCCTTGATCTTCTTCATCTGGCTTCCGAGTCTTGAGCAAGTCCATACGACCAAAGCCGTTAGCCATCAGGACAACCTACCTGGACGAAAGACTCTCACAACAATAACAACAACAGCCCCAGACAATCAACTCACCTGGACTGAAGACACTCACCCCATCCGTCCGCAACAAACAACTTACAACATGATGACCCCCCCAGTCGACATTCAATACCACAACCACAACAACAACCCGGCCCCCCCTGTCCCAGCCTCCGGTATCTGGGTCCCCACCATAACCCTCTTCGACCCCAAACTCGACACCGTCGACCTCCAGGCCCAAGCTAAGTACTTCCGCTATCTCTCCTCCCCAAAAATCGGTCTCGCGGGGTTTTTAGTCCTCGGCACCAACGCCGAGACCTTCCTCCTCACTCGCCAGGAACGTTACGACCTGCTCTACTGCGCCCGCACCTCCGTCCCCCCTGGGTTTCCCATCATGGCGGGCGTGTCGGGCCACAGCACGGCGCAAGTGCAGGGTTATATTGCCGATGCCGTTGAGGCCGGAGCGGATTACGTGCTTGTGCTACCGCCAGGGTATTTTGGACCGAAGGGACCACGGGGAGGGGAAGAAATGATCGAGAATTTTTTTGATGACATTGCGAAGTTTTCAAAGTTGCCGGTGCTGATAGAGAATTTCCCGGCGGTGTGTAATGGGATCGATCTCAGCAGTGAGCTGATAATCAAACTGGCGAATCGGCACAAGGGCAAGATTGTGGGGACCAACTTGATGTGCGGGAGCGTGGGGAAGATTACGCGGTTGGCGAAGGAGTTCAGCCCCTGGAAAAAGGAGTTTGCGATTTTTAGGGGGCAGAGTGACTACTTGATTGGCGGGTTGGCGGCGGGTTCGAGCGGGTGTATTGCGGCTTTTGCGAATGTGTTGCCTTGGGCGACGGTGCTGAACTATAACGACTGGGTGACGGGGGAGGAGAAGAATATTCAGAAAGACAGGGAGGCCGCACTGCGGAGGAGTGGCATCCTGGCTAAGGTGGAGGAACTTCTTAAGGCTGATGGGATTGCCGCGGTCAAGTTTGCTGCTAGCTTGTATACGGGGTGGAGGGCAGGTGTGGTCAAGGGGGATGGAAAGTATCCTTTGTCGAGGAACGGTTATAAGGGTATGGAGCTGTTTAAGCCGAGGAAGCCGTATCCGGATATCAGCCTGGAGACAAAGCAGAAGATTTGGGTGGCGGTTAACTGGGCGTTTGGGATGGAGAGGGATCCTATTGCGGATGGGGATTTGTTGGACCGAGAAAAGGCTGAGAAGATCCGAAGGTCGTGATCGCAAGAAGGGAATACAGCCGAGATGAGTAACAGACGGCTGGAGGATTGTACTGGATAACCTTCGTTTTTCAGCGGTCATCAGCGTACCAAGCTTTGGCAATTTGATGTAGCCAACGGTTGATGACAGACGTAGAAGCAAATGACTTTTCCTATCCTTACCCGTATATCGTATCTATAAACTTACCTTGGACATGAAAGCACACAAGTGACTTCGACTTTACATTACCAAGCCCATCCCACTGGCATCATCTGTCTCTCCTCTTTCCTCCCCCCAATCCCCATCAAACCTCCACCTTACCACCTCCTCCCCAAATCAACCTCCCTCACCAGCCTCATCTTCTCATCATCCCCCTTCCCCACCCCCTCCGCACCCACAAACCCACCCACCGCCTCCCTGACCACCCCCTCCCAAAACCCGCCCACAACCCCCTTCAACTCCCCCGTCTGCTTAAAGTCCGGGAAAGCATTAACCTCCAACAACCACGCCGTGTTTCCCTCACCATCAGCATCAGCATCGACCAGGAAATCAAGTCCATAAACCTCAAACGCCTGTTCCATCGGCTGGAAATGAATCATCATTCCCCTAGCGGCAGCCTCGAATAATTCACCCGTGACTTGGCAAATCTGGTCCCAGATTTCTTCCGCTTTGGCCTGGGGGAAGTGGACGGGCGAAAGGGTGGGAAGGTCCCAGAAGCGGTGGACGGAGTTTTCGGCTGCGTTGGGGGAGAGATATGTTTGGAGGCAGGTGTTTGTTAGGTGGGCTGAGAGGTCCATCTCGGTGGGTTCGGCGTCGGGGTTGGGGTCGGAGGGGTCAGAGGAGAAAGAAGTGGGAGCCGTGGGCGGGGTGTAGGGAGTACCGGCGAAAAGGGCCAGCATATCTTTGTACACGTAGACTTTGAGCGCACCGATGGCGAGGACGTACACCCTTATGTGGAACTTGCGGTTTTGGAGTTCCGGGAGGAGGAGAGGGGGGTGGATGTAGGGTTGGGCGATGAAGTGGCGGAGGTGGGAGGTGTTGATGTTTGCGTTGGCGTCGGAGTCGGAGTCTGCGTCGTTGTCGTTGTCGTTGTCATCCTTTTGGGTAGCTTCGCCGGCGTCGGAGTTGGAGTTGTTGTCGTCTTCGTCCTCGTCTTCGAAATCGGATTCGGATTCGACTTCCCAACCGTCAAAGATGGATTGGAGCTCTTCCATCGTGCTAAACAACCGAATCCCCTGTCCACGATCACTCATACTCGGCTTCAGAATCCACCATTCCACTTTTTCTGGGTTTCCCCCCTCAATGAGCTGGTCATTCTTCTCCAAGCTAGCGCGCAGGTCGAATGCTTCGACGAGGGAATCATCCAAAAACTCGGCGTAATCGACTTCGAACGCTTCCGCCCTTTTAACGTGCGTCTTGAGCGCGGAAGAAGGGTGCTTGGCGACCCAGTTCTCGACTGTGGAAGACAAAAAGTGTTTGCGGATGAGCGCTTTGCGGATGATGTAGCTGTTGATGAGCGTGGTGGTGGGGTGGGACAGGGCGTGGTCGAAGTCGATTGTTTCGTAGGGGGTTATTTGGAGGATTTTGGCTTCCGCAGAAGGGACGAGCGAGGAGAGATGGATTTCGAGGTCGTCTTTGTTGGAGGGGGTGAAAGGGGAGGGGAGGAGGGTGTATGACGAAGAGGGGAGGAGTTTTTGGAGGGCGGAGAGGATCAGGGGTTGAACGTAGGCGTCTTGGTAGTCGATTAGGGCGTAGAGGTGGTCTTTGCAGTTGGAGTTGGTGGTGGACGATTCCCTGATGGGGAGGTTGGTCAACTCGGTCTTAGTAGCCGAGGAGGGAGTCTCAAGAGGAGGCCTGTATCCAAGCTGCTTGTTAGGATCGTGACCGCCAGTACAAGTAAAGAAAGAAGCACACAATCTCATAGTGACAGTAGTGAGCCAGATCAAGAACCTTCTTGTCTATTTCACCTTTCTATGCTCTATCTGATTAGATAGTTAGGTAGTAATTCATTAACTCTTCTTGATCATCAACTGTGCCGTCGTTGCCGTAGTTCTGTCGTTTCCCATGTCTCATAACCAACTGTTGTCGTTCCTCTCATGAAAGCGCCGTGTCTCTTCTCATCACGCCAAAATAAAAACCAAACGCGAAGCCAACGCAAACCAAACACGCGCAAACTTACAGCTGCAACTCTTTGCCATGCAAATTCTCGGCCGTATTCCAAAAGTTGGCCTTGAGCGGGGTGACACTGTGACCATCATCGTTAGCAACCATCCCCCCAATCCCTCTCTCTCTCTCCTCTCTCAATACTTGAAAACTCACCTGGTATGCCCCTCCTTAACCGCCCACCCATCATTCCCCGGCGGCGCCTCCTCCACACTCTTATAAACATCCGTAAACCTCGGACTCCACTTAAAGTGCTTATGGGTATGCAACCCTCCTCCCCTTCCACCCCTCTTCCCAATCGCCTCCCCCCCATCCGTCTCCGCGCGTCCGGCCTCCCCACCCTCTCTAATCCGTTCCTCATCCTCCTCCTCGCCATATACTGACCCTTCCACTTCCTCAAAACAGCTGCCCGCCCCCCAATAATTCTGCAACATGGGCGTATACAACACCTTGCCCTCTTCTAGTTTTTCCAACAACGGCACGTTGACACTATACAGATCCACGCTCCCATCTTCCGGCCACTGCTTCCACAACGCCTCAATCACGCGCACCGATTGCCGAGAAGCCTTGGCGATGATAGCCGGGTCGTGGTTGCGGTTGAAGAAGGCGTAGCTAAGTGCGATAGCGCGACGCTTGCACACCGCGGCTTCCAGCGCGCCGCCGAGGGTTCCCGAAGAAAGGGCGAACACAGCCGTGGTGTTACGTCCGTAGTTGGGACCGGACACCACGAGGTCGATGGGGCCGCGGTCTTGGAAGAAATGGTAAAGGCCGATTTGCACGCACGAGGCGGGCGTGCCGTCGACGAGGATCCATTCTTCGGTTCCGGGCACGGTGGAGGGGCGGGGGTGGGTGGAGCCGTGGTCGGTTACGTTGACCGCCGTGGTCTCGGTTTTCTCAGGGGAGGAGTCGGAGACGAGAGCGGTGGTCAGGCCGGCGGCCGGGGAGGACGCGGGGGGAGGGCGGTAGTAGAGCGGCTTGACGGTTTGTCCGATCATGTGGGCTTTGCCGATCCAGGAGCGTTGGGTGTGCGGCAGGCAGACGGAGACGATGTGCCCTGCGGCTTGCAGGTCGCGGACGAGGGAGTGGACGTAGGGGGACGAGTGGGGGGAGGGAGGCCCGTCGTCGTTGACTACGAGGATGTGCATGTTAGGCAGTGTGTTGGTTGTCGTCTGCCGTGGGGTGGTAAGAGAAAGTGTTGGTGGGTTGTTGTGTGTAGTCGGGATCCAAGACCTGGGAAAACTTTTCAGGTACAAGTCCAGGAACCGAGGGACAATCCGAATTTTTTTAAGTGTTGAATTGGAGAAAGAAATGGAGTTGCGGTTGGTCCCGCTCAGCCTTGACGTTTTGACGTTTTGCTGGGCCCCATGATGCGATTGCGGGGGTGGGGCATCAAAACAAGCTGAAGAGTGGAGCGGCCCTGGATGGATTTGGGTTCACGGGGTGATGATCCAATAATATAAACAAAAACAATCACGGGGAGCCAAGAACCAAAGTTTGTGCATTTCTGACTAACATTGACTAACAATTACTGTTTTGTGTTTGCCAAAGACTTTGAGACTGTTTGACCATACGTTGATGCATGTTCAAGTGTCGTGGAAGGGGATGCATAACTGTGCTATCAAACTGGCTTGTCCTAGGGAAATATGCATACACGAAGAGCAGTGTCTCGACGTCTCCTACAGAGGTAAAATCGTCTTTACAAACTCCTCTTAGACATTGAAAACTTTGATTTTCATGCTCATCAATCTAAGAGCTAGCCTTATTTGAACCTCGTTCTCTTCCAAGACTGACACGTTAGACAAACCAGAGACCTAGTGACCTGATTAATGACTGCATAAAGGTTTTACTAAACTACCTAACTTGTAGCCTTGCATCCAGGTTTTGTGATAGCCACGGCAATTCCAAGCCTATCTAGACCTCATTTGACCGGGTGGGATGGAAGTACAGGTCCTTGTCCCCTATGCCATCAAGTGAATGGACCACATCCACAAACATCAGCCCATCTACCACCCGGAGCAGCATCAAAACATGGGTAACATGAAGAGAAAAAGAAAGTCTCGAACGGTCCAGTAATTGTAGCCTAGCCTGCCTTGTCCCTCATAAAGCAACATCAACAAGTCAAGGAAAGAAGTGAAAACAACCAAACGGAAATGACGACCGGTGCAATCTTGCCATGCTATACCATGCCATGCACTTGTACAACACAAAGTGAAAAAAAGAAAAACAAAGAGGAACGAGGGAAAAGGAAAAAGGGGATGAACGCCTTCGCTGGCCACCCCAAGTTCCAGTCATAGAATCTCCCAGACCAGACGTTAATGAATCACCAGACATGCAATCATTCCATGAACGCGCACAAAGTAACCACCAATCCCGAATAGTTTCTCCACATAATTCTCTCTCTCTCGTGGTATGTTCGTCGTCTTCTGCCTTGGCTGTCCTTGTGATGCCTTCTTGCCCTGTCCTAAAAGATAAAACGCCTGCGTAGTGATCCGTGTTCCCAACGCCTCCAAACCCCGTTGTTGAGTGTCCCATCAAAAGCAATAATATTGAGATGTCGAAGTCAAGCCAGTGTATGGAGATGCCGTCCGCCGGCGCCGTAGAAAACCTTTTGAAAGGAAAAGTGGAAAGAGCACCACCCATTAAGTTGTGTACCATATGCCAGAGCGTGATCAAGTCCTAGTTCGCTTAGCTGGACCGGCTCCGACCGATGGTGTCTCGCTGGCTCTCTTTGTACCAGCACTGGAGGATGCACCGGCCTTGGTTCGACGGAAGGCGTCGAATGGACTCTTCCTTCCCTTGGGTTTGGCCTTCTTGGGCGTGTCTTCTGCAGCCTTCTTGCTGCCGGCTCTTGTGGTGCGTGCTGTGGCTGGCGGTGAAGCTGGCGCTAACGGTGTCGTCTCGGGTGTGCCTGCTCTGTCCTTGTCTTCTGTTTGGAGCTCAGGGGCAGCGAGGGGCTCTTCCTTGGCCCCTTCGACTGGCTTTTCAGGCTCAACGACCTCCTCCTTCTCCTCCTCCTGTACCTTCTCCTCCTCGGCCTTCAGGCTCTCCAGGACGTGATCCTCAATGTCGGTAGGGGCCTCTTCGTCTGAGTCAGGTACCTTTGCCTCTTTGGGTTTGGGTGGGAACAGCAGACGGGGCTTGATGGAAGAACGAGTGAGAGGACGTCTCAAGGGAGAGGCAACAGCACTCTCAAATTCGTTATCGGCCTCCACCACCTCCTCTTCGACTTCAGCGAACTTGCGGAACTGTTTTTTGCCGCGGCTGTGAGGTAGTCAGTAAACATGCTCGTAATTTCAGGGGTCTCTCAGATTTCACTCACAACATGATCAACATGCCGTCCTTGCGGCCAACCGCCTCCTCCAAACTCACCACGCCCTCACCAGGAATGATAACCAGATTTCGGGTGCTTCGGCGGGTGGTGGTGCGCTCAGTAGAAGTGGTAGTGGTGGTAGTCGTTGTCTTGGTGCCGTAGAAAGGGTTGTCAATGCTGTCATCCACCACGGGGACGCGCTCATGAGAGTCAGTGAAAATACTAATTTCCTCCTCATCAGAGTGAGCCGCGAAGCTGTCCAGGGTGCTCTGCTTCTTAGCGCGCGCTTTCTTGGGGCTGGGCATGGCCTCATTCTCGTCGACCTTTCTGCTGAAAAGAGTCTTTGTGACTCCCTTCAGTTGAGACTTGCTGCGCTCCGTTGGCGGCTTGATGGGAGTCTTGGCGGGGGTGATGAGGCTGCCAGCTCCAGTTGAGCGACCGCCGGGGGCGTGAATGGAGCCCTCAAGATTTAGAGTCCTTGAAGCGCGATGAACTGAATCCACGGCGGGATTGACAGCGCGCTTCTTGACGGGGGTGAAGGTTGGGGTGACCATGGCCGACGATGAAGGTTCAGCAGCTTCAGTCTGATGATGGCTGTGATGATGGTGATGAGGTTGACGTTTTGTTGACTTTGGCGAACCTGTAGATTTGTGGTGGGGTGAAGGTTGTTGTTTGGCAACAGATGAGATGTGACGTCTGGGAGTGGGTTGAGGTGAAGGGGTGCGGGCGCGGCTGCGGGATGAGGATGAGGCTTGGGCCTGTGTGCGTTGGTGGATGCGTGTGGACTTGCGCGGCGTGTAGGGCTCCCAGTGATCCTCAAATCCGTGAAGCGGCGCTGGCGGGGTGTGGATGTCGGAGGGAGAGTGCGGGCCGGAGGGAGTCGCGGCCCCGTGACTGCGAAGTACCTCCATCATTTTCTTCCTTTCGTTACAAACAAGGCTGACAGTATATCGGACAATTGTTATCCAAACACAAAAGTGTGCGACCAATGAGACGATCGCTACTCAGGCGACAAAGGCCTAAAAGGATGCGATGAAGGAAGGAGCGGGATGGGATGAAAGACCCGCCCGCGCAATCGATCCTGAAATTGGCGACGACAATGGAAGGCGCGTCAATTGGCCTATGCAGTCGGATGTGCGCGCTTCAACGGCCCGATGTTGTCGATGCAAGGCCGGCGCAAGTGGATGTGATGAATGTGTTGCGACTCCAAAGTGCACACTCCAAGGGTTGTGCGATGTTGTCAGGATGTCGTCGTCGTCGGGGTCGGGGTCGATGTGGTGGTGGTGGTGGTGGCCGGCTATGCGGAGATCTTTGACTTCCAAACTGTGAAACCTGGAACGTGCGAAAACAACAAAAACTTGTGCCCAGTTTCTTTCCTCCTCCACACAAATCGCGCAGCAGCAGTACCCAATCGAAGCTAGTAGTAGAGTAGGTAATTGGACAATACAATAGAGGGTATAGTGTAGTTGCAGTATAGGTTGATGAAAACAGTTGACGATTCCACTTCTGTGTGGATGCAACACAACAATATAGAGGCTGAGTGGTGATGAAGATGGGATGTGTGAAATTGTCTGGGGTTAGGAGTGAGTGTGGGAAGCAAGGCCGATGATGCGGATGTTGTTTGGGGGAAAGAATGCAAAGAAGGGGCTGGGGGGCGGTCTGCGCCTGATTGATCTGAGAGCATGCCAGAATCACCACCCAAGTGCACGGACCATCCCTCGCTGAACACTCCGTCACACCCTGTCTTTCTCCCGTTTCCGTCGTCGTTGGCAACCAGGGTCAGTTGATGCATTCCTGTTTTTCCATTGGCTGGATCTTGATTGCAGTCTTGGTTGATTGCGCTAAGACGCGTAAAGTCTTTGTTCACCTGAGACGCGTCTTTTGCTCCCTTGCCCTTGGATGCTGCTGCCCACTTGCCCTTGCCGAAAAGTGTCCACCGTCCCTTGCGAAAAAGTCCACTTTGACCCCCGTCCTGCCCGTCACTGTCCAATCCCGTGGTTGCAGGCCGATTTGACGCCTGGCCTTGTTGGGCACAGCTCGCAATTTGATCAACGTCATTCCAATGGCGTGCATCGGCATCCGTGCACCATCAACCAGTCCAGAACATCAAGTCAACAACAGCTCTAGCTCTCTACCCTACCCCAGATCGTCACCTACCTTGTCGGCGATATCAACGACGACGAACCACCGCCAAAAGCAAAAATGGCAGACGACCGAATGGAAATCTCCGACGAGGAGGGTTCCTCCCTCTTCGCATCGCCCACTCATCCTCCCACCTCCCGCGCGCATCCCCCGTCGCAAGCGCAACAACAGCAGAAAACTCCCGTCGCTTCGAGTGCAGCAGCAGCCGCCTCCGCAGCCAAGGACCCCGCCACCAATCAGAGCAGTAGTCGCTCATTCGGCATCGACAACACCACGATCGAGAGTCGCGAAGCCGCTCTACAGCGAGAGCTAGAAGGAGTGCGCAAAATCAACCAAGTGATCGAAGGCGTCATCGGTACATTGGAGCGCGCAAAGGGGAATATGGGTGTAAGTTTTTGTTCTTTTCTCCGATACTCCTCTGTTTACTTTCACAGGTTTGGTTCTCGGGTCGAACATCCGTCCAAACTTTAACCACACCTCACCTGCCTCCCTTAACCTCCACCCTAAACTCTAATCCAACCACACCTCTTCCCTTCCATGTTTGCCAATCACTAACAAACCGCCTCACAGACCGTAAACCGCACAATCCACTCCGCCTCCCACCTCCTCACAACCTGGACCCGCATCCTCTCCCAAACCGAACACAACCAGCGCCTTCTGCTCAACCCCTCCTGGAAGGGCGCCACTGCAGATCTAATCGAAATCGAAGCCGAAGCCCTCGAGCGACAGCGCGAAGCCGAGCGCAAGGCCGCCGAAGCCGAGCGCAAGCGGGAAGAGGCGCGCCGCAAAGCAGAAGAAGAAGCGGAACGGAGACGCTTGGCTGCTACGAGTACCACAGGGGTAGGCAGGGGGAGGCCGAGGAGTAGATCTGTTGGCGTGGCCAGTTCGAGGTATGGGATTGGAGTTACGAGGAGCGCGACTAGTGCGGCGGGGACGAGGGGGGGTAGGTCCGGGTCAGGGGTGGGAAGTTTGGTTGGAACTGGGAGGACGGGGACGGGGACGGCGGCTGGAAGAGCGGGCATGACTACTAGGAGTGGATTGGCTTATCGACCGGCTGGAACGGGGACGGGGACGTCCGGGATACCGAGTGTGAGAGGAGGGAGAGGAGGGACGACGACAACCAGGAGTGCGAGGGGTGGGACGACGACGACTAGAGGGACGAGAGGTGGGAGTTCGACGAGGGGTGGTGCGCGTTGAACAATGGAAGGGGAGGGATGAAAAGTGTGCTGGACATGCTTATGATCATGATCATGACGAGATGAGATGAAGATATGATAGAATGCTGTACCTCCGCAACGGAGTCAAGAGCCATGTCTTTTTAGAACCCCATATACCCAATATGTACAGATACCCAAACCAAACCTTGAAACCCTTCAAAACGCCATTTTTGTGATCTTGCCATACATATCAATCCCTTTTCCCTTTTGCCCTATCCAGACAGAACCTTTCATCCCCCATTCCCAAAACCCCAATCCCCCACCAACTTCACGTCTTCTTCTGAAAAAAACTAGTCAACTTCATCATCCCCCTCGTATTAACCTTGGCCAACTCCTTCACCCCCCTACTCACACCCGCCTTCTTCACCTTTTCTTCTTCTTCCTTTTTGCGTCTTTTCTCCGCCCTCTCAAACGCCTCCTCCTCGTCTCCCGCTATCCGCTTCCGCGAGAAATCACTGTGCGACCTCGACGCGACCGCTTCTTGGCGGAGCTTGGTTAATTGCGCCAGGTAGGACTCTAGGGGGGTAAAGTCCACTGAGGAGGGAGAGGATAGTTGGGACTTGAGGTAAGAGGAGAGGGAAGGAGGGAGATAAGAGGAGGTGAGGAAATTGAGAGATACGCGGAGACGTTGGAGGTTGAGGATTTCTGGGGTGGGGAGGAGGGAGGCGACGACTTCGACTCCGGCTCCGGCCGTTGGAGTCGCTACAGCGGTGGTGGCTTCGGAGAGGGAGGTCGTCGTCGTCATTGTTTCCATCGTCTCCTCCCCTTCTTGCGACTCAGTACTGGTAGACTCAGTGGTGACAGTGGTACTCGACCTCGTCACCGTCGTCCTAATCCCCACAATCGGCGCCTCCAACGCCTTAGCGACAAACTTCTCCTCCATACTCTTCGGCAAACCGCCCTCGCTCATGCGCTTGGCTTTCGACAACAGCTCCTCGACAAGCTTTGTCTCGTTAAGTCGAAACATCGTCTCGTCACCCGCCTCCACGGTGTCGCAGACGCTCGCCATGCGCTTCTCAAGCAGTTTTCGCGCTTGAGGCCATTTGAGCACTTCCAGGAGGTGGTTCTTCCTCTTTCCATCACTGCTGTCCTGCTCCGATACGGCGTCAAAGTGGTCGTCGCTCGAGAGGAACATGCGCTGCTGCTGCTTCTTGTCTGTGATCTTGGCTGCTGCTAGGGCGGGCAGCACGAGGAAGAGGGGGTCGATCTGCGTGGCCACGTAGAGCTCGGAGTCTTTTGTGGTTTGCGCGGGCGTGAGGGGGGTGCCGTCTTCGAGGGTGGCGCTGTCGATTAGCCAGCTGCGTGGGGATTTGTTCTGGGGGGCGGCGATCTTGGTGAACTCGTAGAAGCTGCCGGAGTCGGGGCAGACGAGGTAGCGCGTGGGTTTGGCATAGCGCGGGTTTTGGAGGGTGACGATGCGGGATTGTGGGGTGGCGGACTTGGGGAGGATGAAGATGTTGGGAGGGGAATCGACTTCTGGGGCGAGGGTGTAGATTGAGCTGTTGCTGGAGGCGCTCTTGGTCTTGGTGGTGGACGTCGACTTTGTCTTTGAAGTGTCCTTGGATTCTGCGCTGGCCGTTGCGGCGGCTTTCGATCGTGTTGTTCGTGGCATGGCTATTTTTGACTTGAGTTCTTCACACCCTTCTGCCCGAAATTAGATGTTATGCTCGTGTCTTTGTTTGTTTCTTGTGTTAAGAGTCGCAATGTGTGATATCGCCAGGGTCCCAAAAGTCCGAACTCCAATGGCTGGATGGAGACGGCTTCGCTTGACCCAGCTCTCCACAGTGAGCGGCAGACCCCTGACCATCAATCGCGACTTTGGCTGGAGACCGACGCGACTGACCGCGATTTCGTAGCGCGCCCCACCCTCTTTGGTTAAATGACCCACTTACACGAGACTTCCCCAAGTTTTGCCGTTTGCGCTTTGCCAGAGATCGCGTTGTCTTGGAGACTGGACTCCACTTTCTGATGTCTGGCCAACCATGTGACCGGGACCCTAACTTCTCAACCTTGAATTCCCCCGCTGTCGTTGTCCCGTCCACGCACTCGCGCCCGCTGTTGATGGCTGCCAATGCCACTGTCACTCTCTCACCATTCCAGTTTTGGCTTTCGATCCAGTCTTGCACTTCCACGGCCAAGCTAAACCCGACCAGCCTTGATACCATCATACCGCCGCGATACCGACATCCGCCGCCGATTTCACGATTTCAATCTTTTTCGTTGTCAGTTAATTTGTGGCTTATCGTGAAACATCCACTTTCTCTTCACTATTCATTGGTAAAAATATTTTCGCTTTTTTCTTTTCTTCCATTACCACAGCAACGCTGCCTGACTTGACTACCCTATAATCTGTGAGTGTGCCCAAGCCTGGAAGATTTTGAAAGACTCAAAAAGGCCTGAATGGAGCCTTGCGAATGTTTGCACCTCATCTTGGGACTGGACCTATTCTTGGCCGCCACGACTGACTGTGTGGTTATTACACCATGACTTTTTAGATTTGCCTGGATTTCTCGAGTTCCACTAGGCCAACAAACTCAACCTAAACACTTTTACGAACAGCCACACGATTCCCGAACTCTTCTCGTCCATCTTCTTTCGCTTCCACCGACCACCGCACAGTCTCACCCTCGGGCGCCTCCCTGCATAACACCATCCAGCCTGCAGTCCTTCCCTTTGGCGACCAATGTCCGTAAATGTCGTCCTTGTCGCACACTAATTGGCCGCCCAAATAGCCATAGCCTTCAGGTCCCGTCCCATCCTTGCATAAACCTGGAACCTGCAACATCGATCCTGAACTGAACCAGCTGCACACACACCTCCCCGCCGCCGCCCGGTCAATAATCCAAATTCGATCTCCGCTTTCTATCCCGTCCCCGTCTCCCTGGGTTCCGGATCTGCCCTGGGCCACCAGTCCAGTCGAGTCGCTTTGGGCTGCTCGATAACCTTGGGCGGAGACGATCCCCATCACCTCGTCGATACTTCAGATCACATTCCCGGCGGATAACATCCTGGGTTCGGGTTACTAGTGTTGGAACGCAACAAAAGGTCATGGCGACACATTGGCCACCCCGGTCCCCTCACGAAGCTCTCATCAGTACCCCGCGAGGCCGCCAGCGCTTTCGTGAAATGCAAACGTCGCCCACCCCGTCGCCATCCAGACTCAGAATGTCCCGATCGAACCCCGCCCTAGCGGCGCGCTACACCGACAATGAGGACGCCGTTATGATCGACGTGGACGACCTGGAGGATGAAGATGAGGACGAGGAGATGGTACAGCTGAAGCTGCAAGAAATTCAGGCGCGCATGAAGTTGAAAAAGATACAAAATGCAAAGGCGCTAAAAAGGGCAAACTCATCCATGGACGCACGATCGAATGGAGGCCGGCCAGAAAGCGCTTCGGCGAACAACTCGAAGAACTCGATGCAACCCCCAGCCGGACTTCCCATTCAGTCAAGGTTAGCTGCGGCAAGAGATAGGATGGAACAACAGTCGAATCCCGTCCAGGTTCCCGCTTCTCCGATCAGGAGGGGACGTAGTGAATCCGCTCCTCAGCCTCCTCAGTCACCCCAGAGGGTCATGTTGGGAATCGACAAGGGACGAAAAGCGGCCGACATGTCACTCAAAAGGGCGCCCTCGTTACGAAAGGTCGAAAGCGAACGTCCTTCTTCCCAGAATCTACAGTCCCAGCAGTCCGGCTACTTGCGACGGTCCATGACGACATCCTTTAGCGAAGATCAACCCAGTTCCCGTCGTCCTGTAAGCTTCGACGGGCGGGCAAACTCCTTCTCCCAAGCAGAAGAAAGACGTCCCATGAGTTTCAACGAGCGGCTAGCATCTGCCAGGAACGAAGAGCAGGAGCGCAGGGAAAGAGCACAGAGGATACAGAAGATCAGGAGTAATGCCTTCAGTATTGGCAGGGAAGAGATGGAGGAGTACAAGACCAAAGCGGTGGACGTTCCCGAAGTTCCATACAAGGCTCCGGAATATTCCCGGGACGAGATTCTATCGGCAACAGGAGGATCTTCATCGACTGCAGGAGCTCGTGGCCGACCGGCCATGAGCGCATCATCGTCGTTTACGCAACCAAGCTCGACACAAGTCAACTCCGATAATGAGCCTGGCTTCGAACCATATTCAGGTCTTCGCCTGTCCAAGCGCATTCTCCCCCATAATGTGGTCACCCGCGCTATCACAGGCAAGAAGACGTATGGTCTGAAGGATCTTTTGAGGCAAGTCAAGGCGCCCGACTGGTCCCTCCCTGATGTCGAATCCGATGTTGTCGTCTTCGCCATTGTCGCAACCAAGTCCGAACCGCGCAGTCATCGTAGTGACGGCAAGCCCCTGCAAGAGCGCGGCAAGTACATGGTCATCAGCCTCTGTGATCTTCAGTATGAAGTGGAACTGTTTCTCTTTAACTCCGGATTCGACCGCTTTTGGAAGCTCACACCGGGAACTATTCTCGCCATCCTCAATCCGACCATCATGGCGCCAAAACAGGGGCAGCAAGACACCGGCCGGTTCTCGTTGGTAATCAACAGCGATGAGGATACCATCTTGGAGATTGGTAATGCGCGCGATCTGGGCTACTGTAAGAGTGTCAAGAAGGATGGTATGCTTTGCAAGAGTTGGGTAAACCTCCGACGTACCGAGTACTGCGATTTCCATACCAACGAAGCAGTGAACAAGTCGAGACAGGGGAGGCTTGAATTGAATAACTCTTTCGGTTTTGGAGAGAAATACAAGCAAAACTCTAGGTACGCCAAGAGTGAAGATGCTAGGAGAAAGGAGGAGGAAATACGACTGAGGGGTCAATACGACCGATCAACCGGTAGTCACTTCTTCATGAACCGTACTGCCGCAGAGCTCATTGATGGCGGTGGCATGGCTGATCAGGCCGAGAAGAAGGAAGCCATCAAGAGAAGCTTGGCGAGGAAGGAGAAGGAAGCTGAGATTGCAAGAAAGCTGGCCGAAGTGGGTGGTGGTGCTGGGAGAGAGTACATGAGTCGAGCCGCTGGTGGTCTTCGCGCAAGCTTCTCCTCCACCACCTCAGTACCCATGTCAGGTTCTGCTTCCTTCTCGTCAGCCACCGTCTCAACACCGATGTCGTCACTGTCCGGCCACAGCCAAAGCAACAGCATAAATGACCCCCTAGGCTTTGGCGGCAGACCCCGATACGACCTCCAAGCCCTCGGCCTACTCCGCAAAAAGGGCGAAGAACAGCCCAAGATCGACCTCGGCCCAATAAAGCGCAAGCGCCCCGAGTCCGCCCTCTCAAGCGAAAACAGCTTCAGCAAATCCAACTCCACCAGCAGCGCAACCATCACCCCCTCCAACTACACCAGCAACACGAAAGCCCCCTCCCTAGGCTGGGGCTCCGGCCTCCGCGACAAGCTCTCTCGGATGAAAGAAGGCGAAAAGCTCAACCTCTCCCACCGCGCCAGCACCTCCAGCATGCGCGATTCCACTCCGGCCCTAACCAAATCCTCCACCACCACAACCTCAACCGGCCTCACCCCCGCCATCAACCGTCTCTCCACCTCCTCCAGAGACTTCAACTTCACCAACTCCTCCAACGCCCCAACAATGACCCAGGGCCACAGCAACCTCCCCAACCGCCCCTCCCCCGCCGTCCGCTTCTCCGCTGCCCCTAATAACTCCTCCGGCACTACAACCACCGGTCCCACCACTTCCCACACCTCCTCTTTATCCTCCTCTCGTCTCCTCGGCGCCTCAGCGTCCGCACGTCTAGCAGCCGCTAGAGCAGCCGCCGCCGCACAAGCCGCTGCTGCTGCTGACGGGCACTCGCAAGGTGCCCAACCGCCGGTGAGGAAGAAGACGAGGTTCGTGACGGATAAGGGTATTAGAGAGGCGGGCAGGGATAGTTTGGGGGAAAAGGGGTTCTTGTTGAGTGCGGCGCAGAAGAGTAGACGACAGGTGGTGTTGAGTGAGGATGATGATGATGATTTGATTGTTTTGAAGTAAGGAGTCGAAAAGCTCAAGGGGTATGTATACATATGGATGGGCAAAGATGGTTGTTAGTGGGGTATACGTGGATGTTGTAATGCATTGGCATGGTGGACGTGGTTGATGCGTTGGGATCAAGAACTTTCATGCTCATTGTATGTCTGGATACGATGCGGTTGATCGGTTGGTTGGGTATTTCGGCTTGGTTCAGTTATTGGCTGGAAACTGGATGGCTCCTCGGAGGTTTGTTTTATAGACTGGATTGGATTGGATGGGTATGGTTGCAACTGTTTGGGGCATGGAGGATGGATGGGTGGCTTCGGGTTTCGGACTGGATCTTGATCTTTCTTTTGTATGATGAATTGAATGACAACACACACACACACACAGACATACGCAGACACATAACTGGCGCAATGGCAATATTTGTGTTCTGTCTATACCGAAAACATCGAAAGACCGCAAAGGCACTTTGTACGAAGTGAGTGGTCGCATACATGGGATGTCATATTGGGTATGTACACTGGAGTTGTAAAAGCAAAAAACGTCAGGAAATCAGAGTTGAGATGAAAGTTACAACGGTCAGTCTGAGAGGATTTCGTACTGGTCACTTAAGCCTCAGTTCGGTAGCATTTTTCAACAACAACTAATAACCAATCAAAGCCCGCATGGCTCAGTGGTAGAGCGCATCACTAGTAATGATGAGGTCGTCAGTTCGATTCTGGCTGTGGGCAACCCAATCATTTCTTTTAACTTTTTTTTTCTCTTGCAATGTTTCTTTTTGCAGTTTCCAACAATTCCTTTTTTTTTCCCAGGTGTTTGTCTGTCTTTCATCATATCTTCGGGAAGTGAATGAAGCGATTTTAGGAAAACCACCGGTCTTCCTTCGACATTACGAGACTCGCTCTCAGATGTTTAGGTATGTAATTCCCAAATACTCGCAGGTGCATGCCATTCTAGACCTTTCATTCCGTTTTCCAACAATTTTACCTACCTCCAACTCGCCAAACCGTCACACTCGAACGAATCCCCAACCGGTTCGCCAACTCACAATTTGTTCCATCCAACAACACGATATCTCGACCTTTCCATCAACAGAACGAGCAAATAACCCTAAATCCTTAATTTAGCTCTTAGAAGCTGCCGCCGCCTCCTCCTTCTTCTTTTTCTCCTCCTCTTCCTTCTTCTTTCTCTCCTCCTCTTCCCTCTTCCTCTGTTCCTCCTGCCTCTTCTTTTCGGCTGCCAGGTACGCCTGGTACTGTGGGCAATCTAGTCTGGATCATGCAACAAAGCAGGTTAGTTAGACTTAGGTTGTTGAGTAACAAAGGGCCAGAGCCAGCCCCCAAGGAGAGAAGAGAGCCAGCAGCTGGGTGCATGTATGATTACGTACGGGATGGCCATGTTGGATTTAGTTGGGCTGGTTTGACTTGGTGGATTGTGGAATTGTCAAAGATGGTTGGTTGTTGATATTGTAATTAGTGCGGCAGGGTTGGGAAGTTTATCGCTGTTGTTTTTCGATAATGGACGATGCGAAACTTGACACTGGGCGGGCATGAATGGTGGTGCAGAGGAACACTTCTATATAGGCTTGACATCGACTTCGAGAGACAGCCATTCATTGGCACCCATGCTGTACGCTTGAATCATGTAGACCGTTTGGCTGTCTGGCTTCATCCTAAGTGCATGGTGCATCGAAGTCACGATGGCCAATTACCTCTACACATAGGTACGTGATTCAAGAGGATTTTCCAAACCAATATCAACTCTCTCGCGAAGTCACCGCACCTGTTGTTACCGGATCGCCGACCTGACTCGTCACATCTCCAGCGCAAGTCCGATTAGGCACGTCAAGCTCGCAAGCGCAACTAGTGACATCGAGCTCGTAGATATCGTTTCGTGCGTCAACCTCGTGTCTCCTCGCGGCTTGTACCTTCCGGTGGCGTCACGGGCATTTCCATCACCAGCGGCTCCGTTGAAAGCTCGGCTTTGGTGTTGGATGACGGGCTACCTTCATGACACCCCAATTCCACGAACGAAGTCGGCATCGGTTTCCTGATCCACAAGTAGTAGATCAGTGACAGGAGAATTGCCGTGCCGACGAATGCTCCTACCACACCACCGGCTATCGGGCCAACTTTGTTGGAAGAAGTAGTCGTCTTGTTAGAACCAACCGACGTTGTTGAGTTCGAGTTCGAGTTATTGAATAAGACAGGCTTCGCGAGAAACATGTCTTTCACCTCGTCAGATGACCACGGCACAGCGGAGGAGAGATTGGTATTATTTTTGTACCAGTCCTCCACCACCTGAGGAGATTTGTAGGGCTGCGCATCGGCGTGGTAGGTGTAATCTTTGACCCAGCTCATGGCCGTCATATTGAAGAGACCGAGTCCTTGCGGGAACGGATCCTGCGTCTGCCAGTACCGCCCGCGGTCAGCTAGGCCCGAGGTAAAGTCGTGGCCGCCCACCACCAGCATTTGATGGTTCCCTATCAGCGCACAGGCAGCGTTGGCGCGGGTCTCGATTGAGCGCTCAGCGGCTTGGAACCAGACGAAACCGGGGAGACTTAGGACGTAGAGATCGTCGTAGGAATTCATAGCGGTTTCGTCGGCGCCTCCGAATACGAACCTGAGGTTTGACTAAGTTGTCAGCGAGTGGTTGTGGATGAGGGGAAAATGATATCGGAAGACAGCAGGCAACAAAAACAGTACTGAAGTCCGGGTCGTGATGGGTCTCCGTTAGACAACTCACAGTTCGTATGTCCCAGCCGGACCGGCCACACCAGCCATACAGACCGTTTGCCGAGGCTGTGGGATATCGCCGCTCGCGGTCTGCCACATCCATTGCCCAGTTTTCGGGTCGAAAAAGGTTATGTTTCCGAAGTCCAGCAGATGATCGGCCTGCAAACTTTTTTCAAATGCGGTCCCTCCCAAAAGAAAGACCAAGCCGTTGGGACCGAATCGAGGGACATATTGTGCCCGTCCATTCCGCAAGCCTCCGGCCGGCGGTATTGCGGCGCTCAAGTCAGAGGATACTAGTTGCTTAGACTTCATGTCGTAAGTAATCATATACGACATGACTGTAAACCCGCTCCACACGTCCGGGTCTGACATATATGACGTCGTGCCCCCTATGTGAATTCCTAGACTTTATGAGCCATAGGTGCTGGCAAAGGCCGCACTATCAGTCAGGTCGATTGACTGGAGCAGATGAATATTGGAGGATTTCTCCAATGCCCAGGCGCCACCGCCTTTTCCGTCGGCTGTGAACTTCCAGATCCCATTATCTTTTGTAATATTTTCTTTGCCGACGCCGTTCGGCGCTCGGCCGCCGAAGATGTGAAAAGCGTTACTGCTGGGATCTGTCCATATGGTCTCGTCTGAGAGCGCGACAGGGCCGTGGTCACCTTTTGGTGTTGCCTTGATCTCGACTGTTTGCGCGGACCATGATCTCGAGATGTCTATGGAGAGAGTCGACTTCATGGGGCCTCCGCCGGGGTTAGCCAGCTGAGAGATCTCCCCACCGTCGATGTAGAGATAGTTTCCCAAGACGGTAACTTTCAAGCGCCTATATTAGTACCATATACGCTGCTTGATTGCTGTCGGATTTGTGACAAGAAGGGAGGGATTATGGGAGAAGTATCGCAAGGTACGATTCTCATACCTCGGGCATGTCCTCTGCGGAGGAACTTAGCAGCGGGAGGAGCGTCCGACAGTTGAGCCAAAGCATGCTGAAGGTGAAATAACCAAATTGTCAGGGCGAAGCGAGGGGAGGAATGGGAAGTTGGGGTCAATCTCAAAAGACAATTTGCTACTGAATCCATGACGACATATGTCTTCTTCAAAAGAGAGAAGTATGCTCCAATTCAGGAACTTGGGATGGTAGTCGCAGTGGAGAGGGTAATGATTTGGAGAAAAGGGAAGGTGCCCAAGGAAGGAAAGTCCAACCCATCCATATTATCAGGCTGTACTTCCCTTCCGAGACTGAGTACTGAAACACTCGAGGTCTAGACTCTGCCTCGTGCTACTTAACCGGGCACAGGAAAAACGGGAGTATCGTGTCACCAAACTCGGATCTCACCAAGAATGTCAGGCGGTTTGTTTGCCCCTCGTGTATTTGGCTAGGTAGAAGGTTACCGTCTCAGTCGGCACCATGGAAGATACTCGGTCGCCCCGTGACATCCTCAACCAAGCTCTCTCGCTCCAACCCACATCCGGTGTTCAGGAATGAACGATACAACGTTTTGGAAAAATTGGATTCGGCCAATGCGGGCTCGTCTTCACCGTCCCCGACCAGCCCGGAGTCGTGATCAAGGTCGCCCGCCCCTTCTTCGGTGACGCCTTACAAAACGACTACCACGTCCACCAGCGCATAGCAGACGTCTTGGCCAGGCGCGACTCTCTCGACCACATCTCCACTGTCAGCACCGAGTCACCTCCCAAAATCCGTGTCCAAACCCCGCAAGTCTTCTCCTTCCTTCCCTACAAAGCTCCTGCCGGCGGCAGCAAACATGACCTCGACCGCTGACCGACCCTGAGCCGAACTCCGACTCCGACACCAGCGCCGCCGGCGGGTATAGCCATCTCTGGTGGAAGAAGAACCTTTCCAAATTTCCAGACTCCGAAACTTCAAACAACGGGGCTTCCATCCTCCCCGCCCCCGCCTTATTCACCGAACACATCCCCCCTCTCCCCTCCGCCCTCCGCTCCGCTCTGATCCCACTCTACTGTCTACCGTCCCAGCAACGCTCTGTGAGCTCCAACCTCGTCAACGTAGACTGTCTTGCGCGCGTCTACCTTGGCCGAGGAAGACCGAGGAAGCCTGACGGAACCATAATTGAGTCTGCTAATTTTGGTTTGAGGAATTATAACCTCCACCTGGACCAGATGCTAGATCTGGAGCTGCCGGTTGCTCAGTACGTGACAATGATGGCCGAGACGCTGGCGGAGATGCATTGGGCGGCTGGGACGGATGGGTATGATGTCGAGTTTGTTTTGGGCGGGTGTCGACATTTGAGGCCTCATTGTCGACGGCTCCGGAGAAGGGGAAGTGATGAGGAGAGTCACGATGTCGTTGGTGGTGGAAATTACGGCGGAACAAAGGAGAGAATGGCGGAGATGTGGTTATTGAATTTTAACTTGTGTAGTAGGTTTGAGTTGAAGGAGGGACACTGAGGAGAAGAGGGAGAGGCTGGTGAATGATCCGTATTATCCTAGGCCTCGGAGGGTAGAGGAGACGGAGAGAGAGGGTGGTGATGAGGGTTGTGCGGATGATGATGATGTCAAGATGTGGAGGATTTTTGAGAAAGCGTACTTGGAGCAGTCGAAGACGTTGGAGGGGAAGGAGGCGTCGGAGGAGGAGATGAAGTTGCCGTTGCGTTTTATTGAGGCATGTGTTGAGAAGCAGAAGACGTTGCCCGACGGAGTGGATAAGATTGTTGAATGATGATTTGAGGGTGTTGATGTGTTGGGTAGGCTTAAGATGTCTTTGTTAGTCTGGTAAAAGGTTGGGACACTGTGAGAAAAGTGCTGTAACTTACCAAGACATGTTGGTCCATGTTCTCTCCGCTTTCCAAATTTAACGACGGAGTACTTTACTAACTCCCCTTAGTTTCAATATGCACTGCAACCTTGCCGCCTTCGCTTAAACCCTTCATATACTAGTTCCGTTCTTCGTCCATCTCTAAATACCAACATCACCAACGTCGGTTCTTTCCCTTCGGCCACCCATCTTTCAACTTTCATCATCATCCGAGTGAGAGCACACCTCTATCCGCGCATGCATCATGGCCATAACCTCCGCCCCTGTTGAGATAATTCTCTATATCCTTCAATCTTGTGACTCCTTTACCGAGCTGCGGGCTTTGTTCTCGACCTGCCGCCGTATCCACAACGTTTGGCTTGAAAATGCCCCCAGGGTGGTGTGGCACGTTGCCCCCAAGGTCATACCAGCCTTTGACTGGGCTTTGCTGGCGGTACGTAATCCAGTTCACCGCACACTACTTCATTGTCATAGAGCCGGTCCGTCTAACATCCCAACCAGGCCCGCGCCACCGCTCTTGTCCACGATGCCCATCGCGATGGACGTCTTCCGCCGGAAATCAGACCCGACGATTTGACTGGCGCGTTACGGAAACCATCCCTTCAAGAGCTCGATTCCGTCTTGGGTCTGCATCACTTCGTCCAGTGTGTCGAGCTCAGATACTGCCACGACCACCTCACGATCAACAAGGCCTTTAACCAGCCCGCAAACCAACCGCAAAACCTATGGCCTGAGGATAGGAAACCGCCACCCCCCATCAACAATAACACTCCAGAGGACCCGGGAGAAGGCATGCGTGTCTGGACGGAGCGATTCCATACCGCGGCTTATACGTCCCTTCTCATGGGTGCCGTGTTTGCCCGTGCATATAATCAGCCGTTCTACCCGGATGTGGACGACACGTCGTCGTCGCCTTCGGGTGACGGCCATCTAGAAGACCAGTCTCCATCTTCAGAAGCAGAAGCGCGGAGGAAGGAGCTCTGGGATCTCATGCGCAAGGCTTCCTCAGACCGCTCAAACGAGCGGCATCACCGGCTTACCATCAAAGAGGACATGCGTGAGTATCTGCGTCAGTTCCCCGTCTATGATCTCAACAATGAGCTGGGTGGCCAGGAGAACGTGTTTGGTCCATTTATTGAGTGGTACATTCGTTTCACCATATCACAGTACAACAAAACCACACCAAAACCGGCATCACGGGATCCGTCCCGCCCCGCTATCCAGTTGGAAATCGACCGTCTTTATGCCGCTTTTGATAGAGGCGAGGATGTTGACCGTTGCCCCGACCGTCCGAGCAAAGCTTTCATGGAGTGGGATAGCACACAATTATCCGAGTCGTTCCCAACAAGCTTTGTCGGATCCCCGGCCGAAGGCGAAGCGGTTGTCTGGGCTGCCATGCAAGCGGTCCACATGTTTGAGTTTATTCTGACCTGCATCACGAACCTGGACGGGAGATGCCGGTTCGGGAGGAGTTGTACGTGCTGCGACAGCAACAATCAGGAGGGGACCGCGGGTTCGACTTCGACTTCGCCGACCCCTACTAACTTGTGGATCACACCATCAAAAGCCGTAACCGCAAAGGTTGTTCTCTTTGGCATTTTCCAAGCCGAAGAAATTCTGATGCAGGTCGACGTCAAATACTCAATTGGGCAGCAACTGGTCGCATATTCGCCGCCAACACATGCATCGGCCTCGTCTCCGTACACGTATCCTGACGGTGAAGGGTATGTCAACCACAACGACTATTTAGACATACCCCTGGTCTTTTGACGACCTATACAACCGCTCAGGCATCGCGAATCAAAACCATGGCGCAGAACGACCACCACCCCCTCTTCAACTTTTCATGTTCCTACTTGAGCATCGCTTCAACCTCGAATTTGACTACAGCCTGTTTACAACTCATACGGACGGTCCTCAGAGTTATTGGCTGTTCAAGAAGAGGGCTACCATCTTTGCCCACGGGCCCGAGCTCGTGCCGGAAAGAAGTGTGCTGGACTATACCAATGGTATGGAGTTTCTGGTGCCCTTATATACCCGGGTCTTCTCCTTTTATAACCATGACGATTCGTACTTTGACCATCTCACGTATCACGGCAACCCTCGTACGTGGGAGCCAGACTATAACTATTTTGAGGAGCTTCTCCATTTAGGTGAATGGTAGGACCTTCTCTATCTCGGTAACCCTCGCACCTGGGAGCCAAACCATAGCTTTTTTGAGAACTTGAGAACTTGTGTTGTTGTTGATTCCGACATGTTGGATGGGCTCGACTCCTCCAACCTTCATCGTTTATTGTATCTCCGTTTATTCTTCTTAATATTCTGTCTTTTGTCTTTGGCCAGACTAGCCCGTGGTTTCTGTATCCCTCGTTTAAGTTGTGCTCTGCGGAATGCAAAGCGGCTTGGACAGCTCAGGGAGCCCAGGGACTGAAGTCATCCCTGTCTCTCCACAGTGATGTTCCTGCAGTAACGCAGAATATCTCAATCCAGGGGTCACGGGCTGTTCCGTCACGGGCCGCCCTATCACAAGCGGAACAAAATGTGGAGGTGCCGTGGTTGTCGATGTACGGAAGTACCTCTAGAGTATCTCTGGAGTTGTAGTACGTAGCCTTAATGAAAGTTAAGAGGTTGAAAGTGAATAAAGAAATGATGAACAGAAAAGGAGAGAAAAGGCTGAAAGAATGTAATATGTCCTACCCCAAAGCAACAAGGATCCTCTCCCGTTTACACTTCAGCCACCTCCGCATGGGAACATAGTCGAGCATAGCGACCCTATACGCAATGCCCTCCCGCCTCTTGACTAGGAACAATACAAGAGACACGTTCAGTTTCTTTCGCCATAAACGATTACCAGGATATTTGTCAGGTAAACTGGAAATCGCAATGAATTCGGCCTTCATTCGTTCAACTTCCCAGGTGCGTTTAGGTCCCTCCCATTTTCCGTCCAAATTATCCACAACCGAGGGTTGATGAATGAACCCTAGAGGCATGATGGATCCTTTCTCGTCCTCTACGATGATAGGTGACTCGCGGTGGGAAGGCTTTACCAGATAAAGGTAAGCACGTTCACACCAGAAGAAGAGAAGCTGATCATCGGGGGTGTGAGAGAGGCGCTCGGGTGTGATATCTGGGCAGAGGGTCTTGTAGATGATGTCCAAGGTCACGAGTTCCGACGCGTTTGGATTTTTGTCAGGTGGCGGCGGTAGTTTTCGGTGTACAATTTCTGTACCGTCCATGGAGGATGTCGTCGTCCTTGGATTGTTGTCCAGAGGAACGTCGGAGATTTTGATAAGTCGAAGGGGCGTATTTCTGAGGATGTAGGGAGTGATCCCGAGTTTCAATTCCCTAATTTTGTTTTCTACGTCAGCTTTTGTCTCCAAGGAGTGGAAAAACGTTTCCCGAAACTTGTGTTGTTATCTGTCAAAGTTTCAAGCCACAAAGATTGTCAGTCCTAGATACATACCCTAGATTGGCGCTTGTGGGGTTCCGAAATATGCCACCTTTCCAGCCGAGCCATGACCAGCTTGGGAACGGCACCTTAATTTGCAGTGATGTAGTCGGTAAGGTGGTAAGACATTTTCTTCGCACGGGAGGCTTATACGTCCTCCAGAACCTGTACTGTATAGGCCTTGTGTCCAATTTTGCTTCAGGGCTCATAGCAGATCTCAAAGGACCGCCAAGTGTTACGTGTGCCTCATCCATACACCACCACGACAGGGAGGTAAGCTCAGTCTCAGTATCGGTCTCCTCCTATCGTTGACACCGCCTGCAACTCTAGAGTTGTTGCTCGCCTGTGAACGTGAACACGCGTCGCGACAAAGCTCTTTCTTGTAACGTCCAACCACAGTTGTGCCAAGGAAGGCTAGATGTGTAATATTCAAGACTTTCCGTACGAGGCATCACTGTTGAGATGAGCCACAAGGGCATTTCTTGTGGGCCCGCTGGTTTGACTTGGACCTTGCGTTGGATTACCGTTCGAGGCGTATGGATACTCGCAAGCCCTGAGCCGGAATTCTCACCTGCAGCGGCCACAATTGTGAAGACGGAATTCTTGTAGATATCACCCATGTTTTGGATTTGGGACATCTTATCCGTGTCATCATCTTGTATGATACAGAAAAGGTCCACCCAAAGGTACCGATATCCCATATCGGATGTGAAGATCATAGCGTCTATAATAGTTTGTGGAGTAATATGTGCGAGGGAACCGGCAGACTGTAATTGAAGGAGATTTTCACGCTTGAGCATGACTTGTTGTGTGGTGCCCCAAACATAGCTAAGCGTCACGTACGGAGTATCTCCGAGACGGTGCTCCTCGAATCCCACCACTGCTTTTGTTTTCGTGTCAATAAGGCGAAAGATTGACGCTTTGACACCTTCGCCTTTTAGTTTGGGAGCACAACAGTCGTTATCGTTCTCCAAACAATCACGTAACCATCGCCGTGGCAATTCCAGGTCGATCAGGGCTGGCCTTTCCCGGCCACTAAACAGGCTTTGTCGTTTTTTCGTGCCCACTTCAATGCTTTGAAAGCATTCGAAGAGCTCAATAACGCCTTCATACTCAGGGTAACGCTTCCACGAGGGCATCTCATGCTTTTCAGGCACCGTCCATCGCAAGGAGATTCTTGGATAAGTAAAAGCGGGGCCCCTCAGCGAGGGAGGGGATTTTTGCGGTAGCAGTTTACGCCATAGGTATTCATGCTTCCGCGCGAACTCCCGTAACGATGTCTCAAGTGGCGCGTATCGCTTCCAAGTAACACCAGGAGGCGCTTCCACGCAGCCAGCATCGGTGAAGTAGACGTCGCAAATGGGATCTTTTTCGAAAACAGAAGGCGCTTTTACTCGCACCCCTGATGTTTCGAGAACGTGACAGACTTCCCGGCAGAATGAGCAAGTGGCCGCAGACGTCTCAATACGGCTCTGGGTTCCTAGACTCCAGTGGGGACGATCATCGTTGTAAACATTGTAATTGGTGCAAGGAAATATTCGTTCGATTGGCTGTCCTTTGTTCAGCCCTTCCACATCTTTCGAAGATGGAAGGCGAAGCTGTTCAAAGTCAATGGCGGTGCAGTATTCACAAAGCTTTTCCGTTTCCGCCATTCTGGATCTGTCGAAATGGACAATGGCGATCCTAGAATATGGTTAGCTCATTTTCATAAACCGTAGCGTGCGAGTGATGACTTGCCTCCGATTCCGGCCTGCTATTTTCTGTGCGTTATCGTTGAGGAGAACAAGTGAGAGGAAGGCCAGTGTCGTTGCTGAAAACGCGCCGACCGTGCTTCATTGCGGAGGATGATCAAGGCGAAGATGCTTCAGCTCCTCAAAGGAACGAATACTGCCCAATCAGCTGAACAGTCACGTGGAAAAGGTATGGTCGAATCAACCATTGGGATGCCGTCCTAGCCTCACCGCCAAACGCATCTGGCGAGGCCAAATGGGATCTCGTCGACTAGAAAAAAAGGGCGCCTTAACACACCCACAACACCAAATTCCCAGGTGAGCGGCCTCCTCATCGGATGCTTTCCATCACAATAGATCAAGGCCATACGCAATACGCGATCTCCGTCATAGTCAACCCGGCGAGCGACTTCGTATTGCACGTAACCGCTTTGCTAACCGTACAAGTGGCCTGCCAAAATTTATCGCAAACGAGGTACCCGACCTCCTGCCCCTTGGTCGCCAACTGATTGGTTGCGTAAAAGCTACAAGTGCCTCCAAATACGGGCATATCGTAGATGGCGCTGGGAATGGTGAAGTCGACGGCAGGTTCGGTGTATGCTGGTACTTGGCTAGGAGACAGAAGATGGTTAGTAAGTAGCCCAGGCTGTCAGGAACAATGGTAATCAAGCAAATGGAAAAGAAAGGGCTGTAGGGAGTGAAGGAAAAAGAGGGGAAGAAGTAGAAGGAAGACTTACTTGCACGAATCAAAACTCGCACCCTCTTTCTCTCCAAACGCATCGACCGAATACTCCATGATAGTATCTTGTGGTCAGTTGGGGTCGAAATACCGCTCGCCGATATAGGGTATTCTCCTTGCGGCTTCTTTGGGTCTGGCCTGCTGGCGGCGGATCCGGAGTGGGCGTTGGCGTGGGGATCGACCAGCTGGCACGTCCATGTCGTCGAGGAGACGTACTTGCCTCCGGAGAGACTCGGAGCCCCTGTCGGCTCGAGTGTCGGCGCGTTGGTGAGAGTGAAATCCGCAAAGTCCCATTTTTTGCACACGGCGTGCGAGTTACACACGCGGTGCGATTGCATTTCAAACTGGTCGTCCGGGAAAATGTTGGATGGGTCAGGAGGCAGCGTGGGCAACTTAGTTGGGTTGAACGTTTGTGGGAAAACCTGTGTCGAGTCGACCTCTGGTAAGTGCTATTTGAGCGGCGGCTTCTGCGGCAATACCGCCAATCACTGCGGTCAAGGATGGTAAGTATTCTGTTCGCCCAACTCAAACGGATCGATTGCTGACATACCTGGCTTGGTTGAAACAGCCAAAAGACTTGGTCCAACGCATATATCACGACCAACATTCCGTCAGTGGATGGCACCCGCGGCCCCAGCAAAGAAGGTTGGATGTGTAACGGCGGTGATTTCAACAAGCAGTGCTGTGCCTCGACCGGATTCTGCGGAACGACGAGTGCCCGTTGCAGTACTGGATGGTACGTCTTATTTCCTCGCAGTCTTTTTGCTGATATTGAAGCTAACTCTGGGAACTTGGAAGGGAACAGCCAGAAGGGATGCGGACGTTGCAGCTAGAGCGGTCCGGGAGCAATGCTGCAGAGGTGGATGAAGAGGCATGGAGGTTGACCAGGCCCGACTAGATTCTCAAAGGTGAAAATTTGGACTGTCACAATACTTGAGGAAGTCGCATAGTCGTGATAGGAAGGAGCGCCTCAGAATAGGTAACGGAAGTATAGAAGTCCCGCATCCGTCGCCGTTTGGTTGTTCCTTCCTGTTCTTATCGACAACAGGAGTCGTTAACTGTAGCGTGACCGTCACCAGGAGCACCTCCCGTCTGTAGCCGAGTTGTGAATATTGAGTCGGTATGTGAAAAATAGCGAAACATAGCAGCGTCCAATCGTTCTATGCGTCGTGTGTTCCCGTTAGTGGCACTTCTTCCCACTCTTTCTCCCACTCAGTAATCACCGTCGATCGGGTTGTTGCTTCCACTCAGCCGTCCAAAAAGATGCCGACTTGTCCCCGGCCGTGCACGCTGCTGACTTCGTTTGCAGGTATCGGCGTGGCGGACATTTGTTGGATCAAACGGCTTAGAGAAGCATGCATCCATCCTTTTCCTGTCAGGTAGGCATGCATGGGGAGATGGAAAGCCGTTTGAAGCGTTCCCGGTGGGTAATGGTTGCCACCAGAGTAAGAAACAGTAGCAGTTTCCTGCTTTCTTCTTCATCCTTCTTCCCCCGTCTTAGTGATCGATTCAGCTTATAAGAACCTTTCGTCCCCCAACAAACATGGATGTCCCATTCGATGTCCCATTCGATGTCTGGTTAAGTCGCGTCCGAATGAAAGAAAAGGCCCACACACGACCAGCGAGAAGTACGCACTCCTCATCATCATCATCTCCTGCTTCTCGTACACCCTCAACTTCCTCAAGCGATACCATCCGAACTCCCACGTCCGACTCTGAATCAACAGCACCATCCTCTCTTCATACCTTCATCACTTCGATGCCTCGGCCAAAGATGGAACGCTTATTAGAATCTTCCGCATCTGGATCCGTTGGTGACTTCTACCAAGACCGTGACGACAATCCCACGGCCAAGTCGACATACCTCGTCCTCCACCAGCCCACCAACCTAGCGTTGACTCTGGTCGGCGGGAAGTTGACCCTCCACAAAGTCCCGGCCGTGGTGGGAGAGGACCACCCGCTCGCAGGCAAATGCAGTTGGCACTGGCAATGCGTCGAAACGGACGGCTGGCTCGGGTTCCGCAATGCCGCGAGCGGGCGGTATCTCGGACTTGATGGCGGGAAGAAAGACCCCGACTCTGAGCAGCCCTCCGGCATTTATCGGGTCGTCAGCATCAAACATGGGGCGTCGGAGCGCTTGGTATGCGTTAGGGCAGGGGATGGAGAACACGAAGAGGGATGTACGACACCGCAGCAGAAGAAGCGCGGATACATCCTGCGTTCTCTTTTTACTGCTGCGTCATCGGCGACGGCGAGCGAAATCTCGCGGCTTGTCAAAGCATGGGTGAAGCCACAGGGCTCGGGCTCCGATTCGGAAGAAGGCTGGAAGGAGGGATCCGAGGTGTCCATGGTTTGGCAGGATGGACAGGAGGGGACGATATGGAGGTTCGTCAAAGTTTGACACCTAACGGATTGTGTGCCACCACCGACACAACCCAAGCCGGATTATCTTTAAGATCTCAAGTTTTGACTCGGCGGGCAGTGTAATGCCGAATCAGTTTCATGTTCCAGCAAGAAGTTGTCGCATTCTTTCGCGGACTGCAAAGACTTCCCCGTGAGAACCATAGCATAATGCCTCGTCGGTAAGAGCATGTTTGGTATCGTTATCATTCGTTCTCTTTGGCATTAAAGTTGGGTTGATGACCACTCTGTTGATGATGCCTGTTTTGTCGCGTTCAGGTGTTGATCGTCGTCATCGTCCAAGGTTCCATGTGGAGGTGTATACCTAGAATTAGGGAACTGTCATTATCTTATCGCTCTTATCGATAATATGCACGTGACACCCTTCATCTTCAACATTTACCCCCATGTCTCTACTGCACCAACCAGACATAACAAGAGACGTATCAGGCTTTCATACCTACCTATCACCTCCAGTGCATTGAAGCATTAAAAAACAACCCAGATTTTTGTCTTCAAGCCGGCGACAATGGCACAGTCGAAATCAACACCGATCTAGTCATCGTCGGCTGGCCACAATGTGGCTGCTATTGTGCCTGCTCGTCTCCGATTGCTGTTACACTTACAGGTGGTTATTTTATATTCTCCCTTCTCGTGGTAATCTGCTGTTTTGATTCCTACGTTCACCAACAAACTTTCGCTTTTGTTGCTTTACTTCACCTCCATCTGTCTTTCCCTCATGCTAGTACCTTCACTCGTCTCCTCCCTCGACTGCTGTGTATATCCTGCTAGAAACGCGCAACCCATCGCGGTTTGGATGACATTTTTCGCTAAAGCCTGGTCGATATTAATCCGCCCATGTGTTGAAGTCACCTAGTTCACCACCAGTATTTGGTAGAAACTGCCTTGTTTATGGCGGTAGTAAGGCCAGGTAAGCAGAAATTTTGTTTGAGACAAACCCACAAGGCAAAAGATTCTTCTCCAGTCTTTTGGCTTACCCTCGTCAAGATAGTTCCCCTGATGGCTGTGCCTATTTTACAAAGTCAAATTTGCCCCTGGGAGGCCTCTCCCTCACTTCATTTCCTCACTTGCCATAATCTTGCTTCCAGCTACCCAAGCATGCCTCGACGGCAAATTACGAGGCTTGTACAAGAGATGTGATGGGGAAAGAGAGATGGCTCAGGCAGATAGGAATCTCTACGTGTATGCCTTGCTGAAACTTGCCAATGAGCCGCATTACCTCCACCTTGATGAGTTCACTGCCAGACTCGGTAGTCTTTCTACTCTTTAACGTGCTCAATTCATAACATAACATTGGCTGTCTGTTGAGAAACTGGAGAGTGAAACATCTCGTTGAATCTAATCCATCCTGGAGATGTAGGTTGCGAGTTTCTTGGCTGTGGAGTTTCTTCCTATTAGTTTCATGACCATCAATACTCCTAGCGCAAGTTGATCCCCACGTCCAACGTCCTTTGAGATCACAGCCAGTCATTACTCCCAAGTCCTTATCAATACCGCTGGGCGTGAACAGCAAGAAGCTTGGGATGGTCCATTCAAGGGCATAGCCACGATGCCAGAAGTTTGAAGATCAAGATTGTGACTTGGCAATTCAGGTGCCCAAAGAAAGGTCGAGATGACGACGACAATGACCGTGACGAGGGTGAGCATCTACCTTCAACCATCAACTCTTGCTACCCCCTAACTACCCTCTACCTTGATACAGCACACAAAATTCCCATGCCCATGCCCATCACGATCACATCCCCATCACCAACAAAGATCAAGACGTAGCGTAGCTTCAATCCTCACAGCCACGATGCGCCGAGTCGGAGATGGAGATTTGCAATATCCAGTTTGCCCAGACGATGGTAATTCTGACAACGATGCCCAGGACATGGTGATAGCTAACTAGCCACGACGTAACCTGTTTCCCAGGCTTGGTATCTGCCTCATAACATCTTGTCTTGCCATATCTACCCTATCATGGCTTGACCTGCCTCTTTTGACGTAAGTGAAGCGAAGTGTATACCTTGGCTCCCTCACGACATGATGTCTTTCTTGGTACGGGGATCATGGGAGGTATTCGTGACTGTATAATTGTCTCCTCTTGTTGAAAAACAAATCGACGATGGTAATGAGTGGTTAATGGACTCTATACCTCTATGCTTGGCCTACGCGTTGGTGTAGGTTGGTGAAGTCGGCTCGATTGGCTATGCCCAGCACGAAAGTGAAGTGAGCACTAGGTACACTGCCTACCTCTACCTGCTTGTCGTCCCTATCACCATCGGAGAAGACAGTGGAAGGCCAGGGCGTTCTCGGAGCTCTTGCTGAGACCGGAGAATAATCTCACGGACCTAAATTCTTACATCGAATTTTAGACTGTTCCTCTGACAACGAAGTCCTCCGCCCATAGAAGACCCGACGAAACGACCGTCGTCGTAATGCAAGAGAGCACATCGACATGGCATGTCGTCCAACCGATACCAGCCCCGTTCGAGTAATGTCAATGCCAATACCAAGGCATACTAATGCCAAACCAAAAATTGAGAGTCGGGGAGGCGGAGAACCGAAGCCGCCATCACACCCGCGCGGGCATATGCCGTGTACTGACACCTGCGTGAAGCGAAGGAGGCTTAGACTTTTTCGGCCTCCCAGTCCCTGTTGACGTTGCCATTTGTACGATATTATTGATGGAGCCAAGTGATTAGTTCGCGGTATGTTTGTTTGGGTCCAGCCAAGTCTGTATCAAGTTTCTTTCCTGCCTCGTTTTTTTTTCGGTATCAAGCCGGTGCTTGGAGGCCGGGCTAAGACTGAGGCTGGGAGGTTGGAGGTTGGCTAGCAGAGGTAGCATAGCATAACATAACACCTTCCGCAGTTTGAGGTCTCCGTCCAAGCTACCCAGCTAGCTGAATGGCAAGTCGTGATCTCCAGCCGAACGTTGATCAAGCGCGGATCTGGAAAGCTTCCGGTACTCCATCTTCTGACCATGGCCATGGCCTGGTCCGTGATATGACTGAGGTCTAGACTAGGCGGGCGGCATTGCCAAACAGCTGGCCGGGTGGATGGTTGGCATCAATGTCTCCGATTGGGATGAGAGCCTGCTAGTACTGTGACTGGAAGGGAAAAGAAAGAAAAAGGGCATAATAGGCGTTACGTCTCGTTACCTTACCTTCCACTTGATAACCAGACAACCGTGGCCCGGTCTCGAGAGCGAGAGAGCGAATACGTAGTACCAAGGACGCCGAGCCTCTCGATGCGTACTAATCATCATTATGCCTGGCATGACTTTCCATGATATTGAAGTCGGAGATTGTCTCCTTGGCGGGCTGAACTGAGTCGTTGGGATGAAGTCATCCAGGTAGTTCCTTGCCTTTCCTTTGCCTTCTTGGAAGCAAAAGTTCACATACCCACTTACCTAACACATTCATATATGATTCCACCAGGAAGCTCAAGCTTCTATCCTCGCTTTCTTTCTCGAAAGAGAAAGATGTTCATCTTCCACTACTCGTCAGGACTCTAAAACGTTCAAGTCGTAAGTTACCACCAAGCTTGCTCTTGTTCTGCAGGGTAGAGGTAGCATGTACCTACTACGTTGACACCGCTTTTCTTTCCACTCGGGACGGGGGCCCGGGAAGGGACTGACATCAAGCCCAAGCCCATTTTGTAGCAAGTAACGAATGAACTTGCACTCCTCCCTTATTTGTCCCACGTCAACGACGCAATGCAGATGCTGCGCCTCAATATTCCCTTTCACCCTTATCCTAGTGGAGGTTAGTATTACGGAGGACCATGTGTGTCTGGATCCTGAGTTCCGTCCCGAGTCCTGGTCTGGGTTCGATTTATCGGACACCCAGGCAGTGCCAGGGTCTTTGGCATACTTTTTTTCATACCACCTTCCCAATGATCAATTACCTATCGAGCCTATCAGTTGGATTTGAGTGATCAGTTCAAGGAAAAAAAAGAAAATGTAGCTATCCGTAGGCCACAGAGGTGCAAACAGCCCCTGGAATACGCTGAACCCTTGTTTCGGAGATCACTTGATCTCGAGTACCGGCCGGGACGGTAAGTACCCCTACCGGTGAGGCTGGACGCTCACCGACTTCAATTCGGGCAGCTGAGTTTTCAACCTGGAATTCGTGGGGTCTTCCAGTTCGTGAAGGTGTTATTTGAGCTTTCAAGAGCTGTGTCGAGCGGCGACGTTCTTGATGTGTACCTGGGTGCAATCTAGTATATGTGAGGTTTCGGATCTCCCTGGTACATAATAAAGGTACCGTTCTACATGCGGGGTGAATCTCAGACGAGCACCTCGAAAGAAAGAATTTTCTGAGGACTTCCTGGATGTCGGCTTGAGGGGGGGGTTTTGGCTGCCTGACCATTTTGCTTGAAAGTATCAGCGTTCCCATTCCTGATCACATTTCGAACTGTAACCGAAGACAACGTCAACTTGCAGTATCTCCAACGTCTTACGATACCCACTCGTCCTTTCGAAATTCCTCAACTTGGATGAAAATCTGTGAACGTTCAACTACCGATCAGACCACATCACAGCAATTCACAAAACCCCTCAAGTCAACAAGAGTCGAGTGTCCCAAACAGGCGAAGCGAACAACGGACGGGTCAGAATCCATATGGAATGGGGCCCTGGCTTACCTGGTTTGTGGCCACCAATAGATAGCTTGGAAATGGCCAATTGAGAGGGTCTGCATTTGCACAGCCTCAATTTAAGCTCCTCTCATAGGTCTTGGCTTTGCTAACCACCACTCAAATCCTGATGTTAGTTGCGTCTCAAGGACAGTTACTGATCGCCCCATCCTTCACCGCTTTCAGTTTGGGAGCAAGAAGTTTGACTTTTTCAGCATGCGGCCTTGTTGTTCTTGTTCAGGGAAAATCCTTTTACCACCTCTCCTGAAAGAACCTCTCATTGGTTGATGATGATCAGTGAAATAGGGGTGTTTCTGTGCAAATATTTTTGGTACGAAACTCGGCGAGAATCGTACCAGCGCACAGTGATGGTGAAAGTCAAATG